CCATAGTGGGTCCAGTTATATACCGGCAGACCAGTTGAGAGACGCTGGTGGACTGGGCTGCGGCACTGGCAGGCTCTGTGAGGAGAAATAGACAGCCATCCTCAGGAGTACGGTCCCTGAGGGACTGGATGTGATATTTGAGTGAGAGAATTGGATAATTACAGCTTCAAGTCTTGAGACACTAAGCCACATCAGTACTGTTCTGGGGCATTGAAATGGAGGAGCATTAAGGAAAGAGCATGTTTGTGGTGGAGAAATTAATAGTTTGCACCCATAGTTATACCCACCACCACTGAGCAGCCCTGAATCTGCTGGCCACCCCCAACCGTGGGTCCGAACCAAGGCCAATCAAAGCTGTTTCCCATCACCAGCAAAATGACAAATGTGAAACACCTGTATTTGTTTAATCACTTTTAGCTGATCTTATCCCTTGTTAGAAACTGCTTGCTCACAGGGCTTAGAAATTCAAGCAACAATGCCCCAATAGCCCACAAAGACTGCATTCTCTTGTAGCTCAAAAATTCAGACACAGAATACATCTCTATAGAAGCTTGGCCTTTAGGAACAACCAAAGTCCACTCTATTCACATCCCCTGTGTGTATAATTCCCTGAAGTTTCTGGCCAGCAGTTGCCCTGATTCTGATAACAGAAGGGAGGAAGTCCCAAGTTCTACTCCAGGAAAGACTGAGAGTAATCAGCTTCTTAGAATGGTAATCAGCAAAAACACCCACCACTTGACATCAGGTCTCCACATCTCTAACTCACCCAGTACTACTACTAGCTTCTGACCTGCTTGTACAATCTGTGGAGATTTCCATCCTGGAGCCAAGAAGTGGGTCGTAACTGTATCAGATCCTGTGCCCCTGACCCAAACTCTATATCACATCCATGGTTGCAGAGAATTTTGGGGATTAAAAAAAACACCTTCAGCAGTTTCAGCTATGAGATCACTAAAAAATGGAGCTGCTGGGCCTTCTCTGACTCACTGAATGAGAGTCTTTGATGCTGGGGTCCAGGAATCCATATTTCAACTCACTCTCCCTCTAATGGTGATGGATCTGGCCCATTACCAGGGTGTGGACTGGGTTTGATGACCACTTACTAGAGAAGGTGGGAGAACTGTGTGATCCAGGGTCAGTGGTTTCTGCAGAGAACTAAAAGGAAGCTTGTTACAGGAGCTTCAGTTCTACTGTCTCTAGAGTAAGCAGAGACAATACCACCTGGATACTGCTGTATTATTGATGACAGCAAGTCACTCTGTTTGCCTCCAGGCTAACCTCAGCTGTGAAAGGCTTGCTGGGAATATTGTAGCCCAGGCAAAACCTAGAGAGTCATTGCTGTGCCTCCCAGGGTTTGTATAGACCATTGCGGACTAAGGCTCCCAGCAACTCTTCCCAGAAGCATCAGAGAACATGTATTAGGCCAGGACTTTGCAAATTTATGGCATCAGTGAGCCACTTGAAAATCATCATGCTAAGTCAACTATGGGTTTCAGGAGCTTTAAGGTGGGTTTGGGTTTAAAATAAACCGCAAAAATGGGCTCACAAATTAATTGCCTGGATTAATCATTTAAAAAGTGTATATGAGGTGTACAATATAGCTCAGTGATAGAGCACTAATCTAGAACGTGAAAGACTCTGGATCCAACACCCAGAACAACAACAAATCATATGACTTTTTCAAAGAAAATTTTAAGTTGTAAGGAAAATTAACTAGGAAATTAAATAATTTTTTTTATGAAGAATGAGGACCTTATGATCATCATGCTGCTGAGCTGTGGAGCATCAGGCAGAAACGCACGCCCACTCCCCAGGCAAGCACAGCCATGTGCATTCCAAGAGGTGGGCCTTCTTCTCTATGTCCCCACCAGGCTCAGGGATGGCTGTCACTTTCTCAAAGCACACGATGGCATGATTACAAAAAAAAAAAAAAGAACCATAAAACATGCTAGTTTTTTTCATGCTTTTTAACAAATACAATAAATGGGAAAAATTTTACCATTGTTTTCCCATATAACATTTATTTGCAGTGCACCAAAATTCTGAATATATTGGGTCCCACCATTCTCTCTGAGGACTCTGCACAAGCAGGCCTTTGAGAGATCACTCTGTGTGATTAGGAGGGCAGAGGAATTTTGACAAGCATGGGTCTGGTCCCTGAAAACTAGGACAACTCATCTCTGAGATTCCTAGAACCAGCTCTCAAAGAAACTCCTTACCCCAAATGTCTACCTCAGAGTGCCATGTAAACAAATGGTCAACAGATGAAAAAGAGAGACCCCTGTGATCAAGGAATCCTAAGTCCAGCTCTCTCTTGTGTCTGGAAAGTCTTGGGAAAAGTCCTGGGACCTTGTACTTACATCAGTCACTATAAAATCCTGCCTGTGAGCACATTCTTACAGCCACTCAGAGAGCAAATTTGACCCAGGCCAGAGGGCTTTCTGGTGGCCTAGGAGAATTATAGACATCTGGCATCAAGTCAGCCTCAAAGCTGAGGGTGCACTGATCTCAAGCCCTGCTAGCACCAAGACTTCTGGCTTAGTCTTCTTTGCAATCTTCAACATTGCACTCAGTGTCACTGAGGGAATCCCTGCCTTGTTCCTCTATGACTAAGTCCTGGGACTCAAATTTTGTTCTACAATATAAATGGTACCTCTCCCTGAGATGAGGAAAATATGGCTAATAGTTCCTGTTATTCAAAAGGGAAGAATCAAAGATGACAATTGCATTCAAACAAGTCAATAATGATTGAAAGATTGGTGCATACATATGCCATATTTATCAGAACATGGGCACACACTATGTAAAACTTCCAGGGTGAGAAGGAAATGCAAGGCAGATGTCCAGACCTACAGTGTGTTGACTTTGGAAATTTCCCTAAGACAGACACCAAGTAAGAATGGGCAGGAATGGTAGGAGGGAGACAGAATTTCTAGGCAAAATCCATGGAAGGCGTTAGGAAGAGTGGCCGTATTCCAAGAAGGAGATCTCCTTCCAGGATCACAGTGCATGGGAGGACTGGTGACAGGAAGCAAGGTCTCCATCAAAGAGGAAGCAGACTCAAGAGCTGCTCCTAGGCGTGGAAGAAACAAGTAGGTTATCTTTTGTAGGAGTATTTGATTCACGTACTGCCTCTGCCTCTGCCTCTATCTACTTGGCTTTGGGGTGTGCTAGCTAACACGAAGAAGGAGGAAGAGAACAAAAGGGGGGAAAGCCACTGGATTTGTCCATTTATTTAGTTCTGTGAATTCCTGTGACTGAAACATGTGATTTTAAAAGCACTTTTAGAAACAAAAATTTCTTTAGGTTTTGCTATTCCTTCAACAAATGCCTATTGATGTCAACAGATTCTAAATGCCAAGCCCTGTGCAAGGCTCTAAGGAATAAAGGCTGAGTGGAATAAATGTGTTCCCAGCCCTCGGTGAGCTTAGAGTTTAGAAGAAATAGAAAAGCAAATAGAAATTACAAATCAGAGCTTTATTGTGAAAGTACACATAGTTACAGAAGCATGAAATGGGAACCCTAATACACACTTCATATAGGCTAAAGTAAGTTATTTCAAAGTTAAGAGTTAAAGAATGAAATAGGGTATCCAGGCAAAGCAAGGTGGTAGGACAGTTTCAGGCAAAGGAAACAAAACATAGCAAGACCTTAAAATGAAAAAGAATGAATCAAATCCAAGGAGAAATTAATAATGGTATGTGGCTAGTGAGGATAGCACTGAAAAGTTGTGTACACAGTTTGAGTTTTCATGAGTGCCATGGGGAGCTTCAGAAGGATTTTAAACAAGGATATCGTAGAACCAAATTTGCCCTTTAGGAATATCATTTGGTAACAGTTGAAGAATGGGTTAGGAGAGACTAAAGAGGAAGTGAAGGAGACAGAGGCAGCCGTTGTGGTAACAGCAGCTGGACCTGCATGGGACGGAGGAGTCAGAGGTATGGAGAAGGAATCAATAGCACTGGTATCTGATCGTAATGAGAATAACATAGAAAGGACAGGACAGCAATGTCCCGGTTTTGGGCAGGCAAAGGAAGAGGCTATTTGGGACCAGCTACAGGGGAAGAGGACCATGGAGGAGAAGCAGGGGTCAAAGGGAAGATGAGAATGAGTACCAGTGGGGATAGGCCAAGTCTTAAGTGCCCTTGAGACACTCAGGTGGAGACGCTAAGCGACAGCATGGGCCCAAGGACTGTGAGGGCTGGAGATGAAGACCCAAGCGTCATCTGTGTGGAAATAAGAAGTGAGGACTTGGAAGGAGATGAACTGCTCTCACGAGACTGTCCAAGTTTAAGTATCTGTCCACCACTTATTAGTAATGTGATCTTGGAAAATGTAACACTGCCCCTCTACTTTTTCATTTATATACTGGCAGTAATGCCTCAGAAGGTACACCACAAGGATGGTTCCAGTGATAATGCATGCGGATGGTCTAATCGAGAATCTAGAGATAAAGATGTGGGAGCAGCTAAAATGGTGGACAACAGGCCTAAGCGAAAAAGCGCGCAGCCATAGACAAAGAGCAAGTGACTTGGAGATCAAAGGAAGTTCAAAGCGGGGCAGCAGTGTTGAGAATGTTAAAAAAGAAAGGGCTGTCGTGGGGAAGTAGTGTAAGGCTTATGATAAAGTAGATCAGGAACCAAGGTCTGTGATGAATACAGGAGAGCATTTGGAGCATTGAGGTCCTAGAAACAAGGAAAAGAGCGGAGCAAATGGCTAAAGCTCATGGGGTGGATGCAAAGGGGGTCACAGGTGGAGAAGAAGCAATGACCCGGTGTGTTGTGAACAAAGACAAGACCCAAGGCACTTGGACAAGATGGAACAAAGATCCTTCCCTGAGAGTACAGGCCGGGACCGGGTTCCGGGGGGAGCCCAGTATGAGTCAAGGGAGGAGCTGGAGACAGGAGGGGGAGCTGTTCTAGCAATTGAGGTGTGATGGATGGGAGGGACAGGGCCAGTGGGCAAGCTGTCACCTCTCTGATTTTGTTTACTCTCCTAAGAATATACGTTCTTCCTCGAAAAGAATGAAAAGATGGAATTCCCCTTGGGGTCCCTGGAAACGACCCACTTCCGGAGGTTCACTCCAGAGTCCCTGGCTGAGATTGAGAAGCAAATTGCTGCCCATCGGACAGAAAAGAAAATCAGAGATAAACACAGGGAACAGAAGGACGAAGAAGAGAAACCTCGGCCCCAGCTGGACTTGAAGGCCTGCAATCAGCTGCCCAAGTTCTACGGTGAGCTCCCAGCGGAACTGGTCGGGGAGCCCCTGGAGGATCTAGACCCTTTCTACAGCACACACCGGGTAAGAGCTCCCAGTAAGGTCTGTTCTCAGCTCTTAGAGAGGAAGCACCCATCCCGAGCAACCCGGGGAGTCCTGAGCTCTGGGTGATGCGGCAGTCTGCTAAAGACTTAGCTAATTAGAGATGTGCCCCACTCGCCCATTTGATGCTCTCTTTGAATCCTTATGAAATTTATGACAGGAACTAACTGGATTCAAGTCTGTAAAAAGCGGACAACTTCTGTGGAACTTACAGAAAAACTGGCTGTGCCCTGAGGTGGAGAGCAGAGAGCCTGAGGTTGGGGAAGAGGAAGTAGGACAAAAAATTTAACCCAGTGGTCTCAAAGCATGATTCCGGAAACCCTGGCATCTCCCAAGCTCCTCTCTCAGGTTCATGAGGTTGAAATGAATTTATAATAATACTTCGATGTCATCTGCCTCCTTCATTCATGTTCTCTTGTGAACACAGTGGTAAGCCTGGAGGCCATGATAAGAATGACACCATCACTGTAACAGCTATGGGAATGTGTGCCATTATATTCTTCTGTTTTAAAATTCCCAAATCTCTATTTCTAATATATATCACATATACACACTCACAAATATATATTTACATGCATATGCATTGTCATGTATACACATATGTGTATAGATTAATTTCTAACATACATGTATACACACATACCAGCAAAAAGGAATAAGGCACATAACCAAAGCTCTTTGGAGACCCCAGTAACTTGGGAAAGTAGTAACTTCTTAAATCAAAAAGTTTGAGAACCACTGGTATAAACAAGAGCTGCTCAGTTGTCTTTCCTGTGCTGCAATTTAAATGTTATACATAGGGAACCAAATTGGTGACGCGTACGTGGGAGTTACAGTGGGTAGGAGTCAGACATCTCAAAAGTGGTTGTAGAGCAAATAAAACAGCACAAGAGTATCTGTCCCCTTCCTCTCCTTTACCAAGAGCCCTTCTGAGCGCTTCAAGGAAGGAAGCAGGAGAGGGCTGAACCATGCCTAGGGATGGACCTCTAATCAGAAGTGGAATTACAAGCAAGCAGAACCCAGCCAAGTGTATCTTACCTGCTCCCATGTCACTGCTCGACCATTATGCACTCAGTGGCATTATCTGGGTGCACAATCAGCAAGCCTCTGCTCTTGCTGGGAGGGGGAGGATCTGGCTTTTAGCCTCCATTTGGCTGTCGGTGATGCGTGTTTCCTAGAACGCTTCTCGCTCGCGAGCCTGAGATGCTACCACTCGTGTTCAGCAACACAGGGGTCAGATGTTTTGTTCCTCACCAAAGATCCACTTCTGTTTTGTCTTGTTTTAGACATTTATGGTGCTGAACAAAGGGAGGACCATTTCCCGGTTTAGTGCTACTCGGGCTCTGTGGCTTTTCAGTCCCTTCAACCTTCTCAGAAGAACAGCCATCAAAGTGTCTGTCCACTCGTATCCTTTGCACAATTGCTTCTTCCACCTGTAAGAAACAAGCCTGTCCCAAAGTGTCCCTCTCTTTCTTTAGAAGGTGACAGTAGAGCCTTCTTCTGGTTGAACCCTGAGACAATGAGGTCATTATATTGAAAAAGTTGTTCATAGCTTTAACATGTACAAAACACCCCATAGCAGTCCTCAGCTTCACCCTAAACTCACCTGGACACAGCTGTGGAAACACAACTTGAAAAGTGTCCTCTTTTTTTTGCTGGTGTCCCAGGCACAACCTCACAGGTGCTGGTGGTCTGCTTTTCTTTTCTTTTTTTTTTTTGTTTTTGTACTGGGGATCGAACTCGGGTCCTTGCACTTGCCAGGCAGGCAGTGGAACCACTGAGCTAAATCCCCGGCCCTGGTGGTCTGCTTTTCTCAGGACATCACTGCCAGCAAAAGAATCCCAGAGTTTCTTCAGGCAGAGGAGCTAGGCCATGGGTCATTATGCTGTCCCCTGGCCATGCTTTGGGGTGGTTGCTTACTGGGCAAGAGAGCAACACACCTGTACCTCCTGGGGGCCAAAGAGAACTGACTGTGACAGACAGAGCCCAGGCTGATGGGACCTCATTGATTAGGGGACACTACCAATCACATTACTCCTAAACTACCAGCAGGGTGAAAATATCAGTGGCTGGAGGTTCCAGCCATAGGGGATCAGAGACACGCTGGTGAATGTCTGTATTACATCAGTTGCTTCAAGCAGCGTTAGAAGCTGCCTTTGCTTTTTGTTTTGTTTTGTTGTTTTCAAGGCAAGCCGAATGAGTAGACAAAAGACATTTTGGCTTAGCTCTCAAGTTGGAAATTCCTGATGACAAATTTTGCCCTGCCACCCAGCAAATGGTATGCAGGAACAGTTTTGCCCAGTCGCCGGCCTCTTCTCAGGAGACTGCAGTCAAAGGAATTCTCCCTACCTTGTGCTCAGACACTGTAAGTCAGCCTGTGGGATGGCTGGGCAGTTCTCTCCAAGCTGGTCAGCCTCGAGCAGACATCTGCACACTCAAGATGAACCTGCAGCACTCAGTGAAGGTGCATGCCATCGTCTCTCTTTCCCCGTGTTTTCTCCGCACAGCTAACCAATGGGAATTATATTTTCTGAAGTGAACCTTGGCTTTCTGGATTCTTCAGAGGGTTACTTAGGGATAATATGGTAGTAGGCTCCCATTTACTAAATGCTTTCTAAGTGTCACAGATACAGAAGCTTTTGAAGTAGAGATCAGCATCCCCATTTTACAGAAAATGAAACTGACACTCAGACTCATTTAGCAAATTGTACAAGGTCGCGCAGTTATTTAACAGGTGCAGCTGACACCGCTTTGAGCAATGTCTGCAGTGCAGGAGCAGACAGTTAATGGAATGAATTGGGGTAATTATTCTCTCAGTGTGTCATCTCTCCTGGGCTGTTGTTGCTTTTTAAATATATGTATACAATTACATAGAAATTATAGAAAAAGAAAAATAGCAAACACCCAAACTCCTCTCCCTGGATCCTGGCTGAATTATATCTATATAAGTAAGAAATAGGTACTTAGAAATAAAATCCTTGTAAAAAACCAAGTGACTGGTGAATAGTCTATTCATTTGGAGATTTTAATGAGTAAATGATTGCTTGGTGGAGTTAGGGCTGTAAGGAGATTGTGTTGAGGGCCTCCTTCTGACAAGTCTGCAGTTATACATGGAAATCTCATCCACTTGGAAACTTCATCCCAAAGATATTCTTCCAGGTGTGGAGTCCTCAGGGTTCTATAATTAATATTTCACCCCAAATCATAATTCCAATAAAATTTTATATGGATGTTTTCATAAGTAGTATGCATAATATATTATAAAAGTTTTAAAGGTTTATAGAGTTAGAAGTGGAATTTTAATTTAATCCTGTGTTAACATTTTTCACTATGGGAATATTTTTTAATTTAATTGCAAATCAGCAGAAAATGGTAATAGAATAATTAATAGAATTTCTCTGTTCAAAATAGATGTATTCCTCAGCAACCATAAAACAAAGCACATTGAAGGTATTTACCAAAAACCCAGGTAGATTTAAATGCAGTACTTCGGTTCAAATGAAAACAATGAAAGATGAGTGGTGTCCTCTTTACAGAGGTCAAACTGCTCTTGAGCCTTGGTTTTTCCTTGAGAAGTGTTTTTAGGAGCCCAGCTAGTCCTGAGGAAATGACCAGGTGGTGGGAATTTATCTGTGGACTCTCCTTCCACCATTTCCTGCCATCTATTCACTCACTTCCACAAATCTGCCCTTTGAAGTCTCCTCCTTCTGGAAATTCCTTTGCCAGATCTGCTCTGAGAATCTCCTCCCCAGCTATTCACAGCCTAACCTGCTCTAAATTTCTTCCCCGACCAGTACTGCTGGTCACTGTACCTGTCTTCACCACGCTTCCCCTGACGCCCGTGTCTCTGGGGGGCTATCTCAGCTAAGTTAGGAAAAGTTTCACTGATTCCCATGAAAGCTGCACTCCTCTGCTTATCCCTAACTTCCTCTCTTCTCCTTGTGTTTTGGCATGAAAAGGTCTTTTGCTGGATGGAATTTCAGGCTGCTTTGTACAGTGAAATGAAAGCCTGGGGAGGAAGGACTTTTTGGAAAAGCAATCCTAATCTCATTCCTCTCTCCCAGGGGTCTATTATCAGACAGATCTGAGTTCAGTTCCTAGCACCCTGGTTTGCTGGCGGCACGATCTCAGAAAATGTATTTCAGCTTTGTCAGCTGCCCGCTCAGATCCAGTATGTAGGCAATAACATGAATCTGCGGTTTAGTGGTTCTAGAGATACTGTGGGCAGACATCTCAGCCCACGTTGGGCACTCAGTAAATGTAACAGTTATTACGTGAGGGGACCAGGAAGCTGACACCAGCTGAGAGTCATGAACCTCGACACTCAGCACCAGGGTGATCCTAGGTGACACCAGTGGGACATGGTGTCTCTCGGCTTTTCCTTAACACATTATTTTCAGGTGGTTCACTTCATTTATTACATGCACTATTGTGGCCAATTGTGTGTGCATGACTCAAGGTGACCTTCCAGAGAAAATTGAGTGAGTAGATTTGCTATCAATATTGTGTCTTTTTCTCTCTCTATCCTTTTCTCCTCTTTCTTCATCTTGCCAAGTCTCATTTGGGTAATACTGAATTTTGTTGCCTATTTGACTTTGTCATGATTAGGGTTTTTTTCTACTGTGAACTTTGTTTCATAAACACGCGTATGATTTTCAACTTCAAGAAGGTATAGATTAGTGGCTGTCAACCTTGGCTACACAGTGGAATCCACTTGGGAGATTGTTTTAAAATACAGATGCCTGGAGGGTCTGATTTCATTGGACCAGGGTAGCCTGGGCAGATGAGTGCTCTTCACGCCTGACTCTCAACACACACACCTGCTAGGTACTCACGTGGATGAAGTTTAGAGAAGGCCTCCTCTCAAAGTACTGCAGGAGCAAAGTAGAAACAGAACTATGAATAAGTGGTTCTGGGAAATAATCATAAAATAACCCGTAAATAAGCTGTTTAAATTGTCCTGCTCGTATGCTTCAGAGTAACTTTAATATTTCTAAGGTTACTGGATCTCCTTGAGTTGTCAGATGAAAATTCTGTGGTTTTAGAATGGTAGGGAGGGGACTTCCTAAAAAAACCCAAAACAACAACAAAAAACACCTGTATCACACAGCTGGGACAGATCCCCACCCCAGCTTGAGCCTGACACTCTTTCGGGTGTAATAATAGGATCTCTGCTGAGCTTTCTCTTTTTCTACTTTTTCTCCCTAACTATAACAGTGATACATGCCAAAGAGAAAAAAGTGTTCTATTTTTATTGATAGATTGAGGAGAAAAATTATGCAGGCATCTTAATTGATGCTGAAAATTATTCAATAATCTTCCATTTCTGTTTATGATTTTGAAATTCACAGAAAAGTTGGAGGAAGTGGGATCACCTTGCTCTCCCTGCTCTGACAAAGGGTGTATATTCTTCAAAAAGTAGCAACCATCATACTTTATTGTGAATGTGGAAATCTTTCCCTTTGAGATCAAAGAAAAAAACACAGAGATGTTGTTTTCATTGGTTGAACTTTACAGAGGAGGTCATAGCTGGTATAGTAAGACAAAGAAAAGAAACAAAAGGTGCAAGAAAAAGACAAGTCCCAATATTATTACAGGTAACAATATTATGTACATAAAATATCTAACATAATCTAGAGGAAAAACTACTAAAATTAATAAGATAGTATGTGACATACTGATATGCATTAATATGTACAAATCAATTATGTCTTTGAACTAACAACAAACAACATAATTTTAAAAATATTATTTATACTAGCATTTAAAAATGTAAGCACCCAGGAATAATATCATCAGACCATAAATAAGATTTTTCCAAGCAAAACCATGAAAAATATTAAGTCAAATCAGAGAAAACCTAATAAACTGGGAGGTAATGTTCTATGCTTGGACCCAAAGTCTCAATATTATAACCTTCCCAATGACTAATCAATTTAATATGATCCCAGTCAAACTCCCAACAGGCTTTTATTGTATTACTTGACAAAGTGATGTTAAAGTTTATATAAAATGCAAAGAGTAAATTCTAGCTAAGACGCTTTTGTGGAAGAAAAACAAGATAGGAAAATTCACTCTACTGGGTGCCAAGACTTACTACAAAACAGAATGTGTCAGTGGTGGAAGATTAGCCCGATTATAACCAGCCTAACACACATGCAGGCATTTAGTCTGTGATACAGGCGGCACCACAAAATGGCGGGAAAAGGACAGACCAGTCAACAATGCTGAAGAATTACAAATCCCAGGGGAATCATTCCATTGAACAAACTACTTTATACCACACACAAGAGTCAATTCGAGGTAGATTGCACCAGAATTTACTTGTGAAATACAAAGACCTGAAGCTTCTAGAAAGAAAGAAAAAAAAAAGGAGAGTTACAGTTATGACCTTGGTTGAGGGAAAGTTTTATTACATATGTCACAAGAAACACTAATACATTTCAGTATACTAAAGTTAAGAATGTCTGTTCATCAGGGGACAACTTGAAGAGCGTGAAAAAGAAAGCCTGTTGCGTAGAAAGTATTTTCAACACTTCATGTCTGAAACATGCTTGTAGCCAGAGTTCTGAATCCTATAAATCACTTAGAACAATGGCAGCACAACCAACGGTAAAGGGAGTAAAAGCACTTGAGCAGGCGCTGCACAAAAGTAGAAACCTAAATGGCCAATAAACACACTCAAGTATTCTTAATGTTTTTTTCAAGGAGGCACAACTTTAAACACACAAAAGGGTTAATACACATTCCTTGTACAAGGAAATTTGTCAAGGATGGGAATATTAAGTACGGGGAAGGCCACAGAGCAGCAGGAACTCACGCTGCTTGTGAGCAGCACATGAGAGTGGACAGCCTCCTGGAAAGCAGGGGACATTACTGAGGGAAGGTGGAGACGCACATACACTGCATTCTTCTCATTGTACTTAGGTGCCTACACTTAAAATATGAGAGGTGATCAAAATATACAGTGAACTTTTAAATACACAAAACTTATTACAGTAAAAGACATATTGCCCATCAATTCCCCCTGAAAAATCTCCTCTTCACTTCAAGCATATTTATCCCAACATGCTGGCCACTTTCTGAAACTGCCTGAAGTGCTCTTTCACGACAATCTTTACAAAGTGTAATACAAAAAAAAAAAAACCAAAAAACAACAACAACAACAACAAATGCTACTGACGAGTATTATCCATTGGACAGGCAGGTTTGTAAATCACAGTACATCCTCATACACCTTGTCAACTGGACATGGCCACCATGCAACTTCTGGACCCTGCCAGACCAGTCAGAATGATCACGAAAGGTAAATGTCTTGAATCAGTTCAGGATACCGAGGCAGCCATGACAATACAACTGAGGACACTTATGAAAGAGGGCTGCCAGAGCTGCTTCAGAAAGAACGAGGGGATAAGTGTGTTGGAAGCTCGAGGGAATGTTATGAGGGAATTTGATGGTAATGTGACTTTTACTGAAGTACAATTTTGTAATTTAAACATTCACCATGTTTTTAGATCACACCTTGTATGTACTGGTGTGCCCCAAAGTAGAGCTACAAAAAAAGTTTATGAGCTTTGCCCATACAACCCAGACATTCATAAACTTTCAAATATATTCAATATTTGTTGTCTTCTAAAATGAGATAAAAGTATAGCAGTGAAAATGAATAAACTGTAGCTTAGTTCAGAAATAAGAGTGAGGCCAGGTGTGGTGGTGCACGCCTGTAATCCCAGCCCTCGGGAGGCTGAGGCAGGAGGATCACTGTGAGTTCGAGACCAGCCTGGGCTACATGGTGAGTTCCAGGGCAGTCTCAACTACATAGTGAGACCCTCTCTCAAAAATAAAAAACAGAACAGAAACAAGAGTGAGTCTTTAGAAAATAAAATTGAACCAAAACAAAAAAAAGCCAGGCACAAAGGGCTATATAAGTGATTCCACTTATATAAATGCAAAAGGAAGCTGCAGTATTTCATTTAAGGATGGTCGTGCTCTGTTTTCTGTTGTTATGACAAAATACCTGAGACCACATTGTTTATGTACAGTAGATTTTATTTGGCTCTGGAGGCTGGGAAGTCTAAGCATGGGGTTGGCGTCTGCTTGGCACCTGGTGAGGGGCTTCTTGCTACAGCCCATAACAGCAGAGGGTGCACGTGGTGAGAGAGACCTCGCATCTCTTCCTTTTCTTACAAAGCCGTTGATGCCATCAGGGGCCCTGCCCTGTGACCACATCTAATCACTTCCCAAGGATCCATCTATAAATAGCATTGATATATTAATTTGGGGAGTAAGTTCCAAAATGTGGACTTTGGGGGAATACATTTAACCAACAGCATATTCAGGAGGCAAAAATATCAATAAAATGAAATGAAAAAGCACCAGGTATTAGGGGGAGAAGAACATGTAGGACAGAGGACAAAGAATGTAATTCGGAAGGAACCACAAGCTCACTGTGGTGCCCACTGTGTGACTTGGCAGGGGCCACGCACACTGACAACTGAACTGGCCCCTCCCTCACAGATCCACCTGCTGAAACTCTAATCTCCAGTGTTACTGCGACGAAACACAGTAGTCAGGAAGTGACAGGGCCCCTGCCCCTGGAACTGGTGCTCATAAGAGAAGAGAAAATCTGAGTTCTCTTCCCACCATGTGAGGACAAAGGAGAAGACAGCCAGCTGTGCCAGCCCTCACCATGCTGGCATCCTGACCTCTGACTTCCAGCCTCCAGAACTTGAGAAAAATAATTGTCTGTTGTTCAAGGCACCCAGAAGCATTCATTTTAAAACAACTGAATTGCATTTCATGGGTATTTTTATCCTGCATGTTACATATCTTAGTGGAACTAAATTATGAAATCATATTTTATATAGCTGAAATCATGGCATAAGATTTCTATCTCTCCTCTAAGCCTTTAAAGCAAAGCATCTTTTCTCAAAGTGAGTTATTTGGGAGTTACCTGGCAATGCCGGTTAAAAGTGGAAAGACGGCATGCATATGTTTTACCCCACCCTCTCACAATGCCAATAGAATGGCAGCACGGGAGTGGGAGCAGCACAAATGCACAAGAGCAAAGGGAAGGGGAAGGAAAACACTGAGGACGAAGATGTCAAAACAATCTTGAGAGACCACAGTGGGCGGAATGCCGGTAAATCCCTTAGCAAATCAGGGCTTGTGACACCGCAACACCTGCAGAGGGGATAAAAATGAGGCCCTGAAACATCTGACCCCCTGCGAGCTGCAGAGGCCTGGACAGGTTGACAAGAGACAAATGGGGGGGGGGAGTATGTCATTCGTTGGTGCTTCTACATTAGCAAAACCTTTTACACTTGATCTTAGCCAAAAGGCCGAGAAGCGATTAGCAAAACCTTTTAAAAGTATTTTTTATAGTTGAGAAATCAAAGAATTGAAAAATAATCGTATTGGAATAGTACAAAAGTAAGCATAGGAAAGCTGGTTTTAAATACAGTTGAGTGACACACAAGCC